ATTTATCGTGAAGACCGAAAGAACAAATCTTCCACAGTATGGAAGGGGACCCAGATGGGTTGCTGCTGCTGGCTGCGGCGGCCAGTTTTTAATTCCCTTATTTGTCCCCGCCCATGTCCTGCTGATTGGTCCATTTTACAAACCTCTAGCTAGCTGCAGAGTGCCGATTGGTGCGTTTTTATGGAGCGCTGATTGGTCCATTTTACAAACCTCTAGCTAGCTGCAGAGTGCCGATTGGTGCGTTTTTATGGAGCACTGATTGGTCCATTTTACAAACCTCTAGCTAGCTGCAGAGCACTGATTGGTGCATTTTTATGGAGCACTGATTCGTGCATTTTACAAACCTCTAGCTAGCCACAGAGTGCTGATTGGTCCCTTGCATTGTTATGGCACACTGATTGGCACATTTTACAAACCTCTAACTAGCTGCAGAGCACTGATTGGTGCATTTTTATGGAGCACTGATTCGTGCATTTTACAAACCTCTAGCTAGCCACAGAGTGCTGATTGGTCCCTTTTTATGGAGTACTGACTGGTGCATTTTACAAACCTCCAGCTAGCTGCAGAGTGCTAATTGGTGCATTTTTATGGCTCACTGATTGGCACATTTTAGCAAACTTCTAGCTAGCCACAGAGTGCTGATTGGTGCATTTTTATGGAGCACTGATTGGCGCATTTTACAAACCTCTAGCTAGCCGCAGAGCACCGATTGGTGCATTTTTACAGAGCAGTGATTGGTGCATTTTACAAACCTCTAGCTAGCCACAGAGTGCTGATTGGTGTATTTTTATGGAGCACCGATTGGTGTATTTTACAAACCTCTAGCTAGTCACAGAGTGTGTATATGTGTATATATATAAGCTGTGTATATAAGGTGTGTACATATATGTGTGTATATATAAGGCATGTATATATGTGTGTATATATGTGTATATATAAGCTGTGTATATTAGGTGTGTACATATATGTGTGTATATATCTGTGTGTATATAAGCTGTGTATATAAGGTGTGTATGTATGTGTATATATAAGCTGTGTATCTATATGTGTATATATGTGTGTATATATGTGTGTATATATAAGCTGTGTATATTAGGTGTGTACATATATGTGTGTATATATAAGGCGTGTATATATGTGTGTATATATGTGTATATAAGCTGTGTATATAAGGTGTGTATATATGTGTGTATATGTGTGTATATATAAGCTGTGTATATTAGGTGTGTACATATATGTGTGTATATATGTGTATATAAGCTGTGTATATAAGGTGTGTATATGTGTGTATATATAAGCTGTGTATCTATATGTGTATATATGTGTGTATATATAAGCTGTGTATATAAAGTGTGTATGTACGTGTGTGTGTATATATGTATATAAGCTGTTTATATATGTGTGTATATATGGTGTATGTAAGGTGTGTATATACATGGGTATAAATATGTGTATATAAGCTGTGTATATAAAGTGTGTATATATATGTGTGTTATGTGTCTATATAATCTGTGTATACCCATATGTGTGTGTATATGTGTATGTATATAAGCTATGTATATATGTGTGTGTGTATATATGTGTGTGTATACACACATATATGTAGATATACAGTCATGCATTGCTTAACGATGGGACATGTTCTGAGAGATACTTTGTGAGGTGACTTCTCCATTGTGAGAATATTGTAGAGTTTATTGAGACACACCTCGCTGGTCTAGCCCATTGCACACCTAGGCTATATAGCAAATTGTTCCTGGGCTATGCACCTGTACAGCACGTTATTGTACTGAATAGTGCAGGCAAACCTAACGCAAGTATTTGTGTATCTAAACATATCTAAACATAGAAAAGCTACAGGAAAAATAGGGTATAGAAGAAACTAATTGGGACACCTGCATAGGACAGCCGTGTGATAATCACAGGGGACTACCGTGATACATGCTGTCTGCTGATGACAAAAAGGTCGTTAGGCACCACATGACTCTGTGTGCGTCTGTGTGTCTGTGTGTCTGTGTGTGTGTCTGCGTCTGTGTCTGTGTGTGCGTGTCTGTGTGTGCCTGTTTCTGTGTGTGTCTGTGTGTGTGCCTGTGTGTGTCTGTCTTTGTGTGCATGTCTGTGTGTGTGTCTGTGTGTGTGCGTGTCTGTGTTTCTGTGTGTGTCTGTGTGTGTGTCTGTGTGCCTGTGTTTGTGTGTCTGTGTGTGTGTGTGTGTGTGTGTCTGTGTATGTCTGTGTGTGTGTGTAGAGAGACAGATATGTAGAGATAGAGGTAGGACTAGAGGTAGATAAATGATAGATAAAAAGATAAAACAGAGAGATGATAGACTTGATAGATGATACATAGATAGATGATAGATAGATGATAGAGAGATAAACAGATGATAGATAGATAGATAGATAGATAGATAGATAGATAGATAGATAATACATAGAAGACAGAGAGAAGTAGACAGATAGATGATACATAAATAGATAGAGACAGATAGTTGATAGATAGATATATAGATACATACGTAGATAGATAAATACATAGATAGAATAGTAGATGGTAGAATAGAGAGAGATAATAGGTAGGTAGAGATGATAGATAGATGAGCTAGATAGAGATAGGGATGATATACATAGATGATTGATGGTACATAGATAGATAAAAGAGAGTTGATACATAAAATAGATATGGATAGAGCAATAGAGAGATAGAACAAAGAGAGTTAATTGATAAAATAGATGATAGATTGAAAGACAGAGAGAGACAAAATAAAATGATATAGATAGATAGATAGATAGATAGATAGATAGATAGATAGATAGATAGATGATAGATAGATAGATAGATGATAGATTGAAAGAGAAAGACAGATAAAATAGAATGAGATAGATAGATAGCAGATTGAAACAGCTAGAGAGAGATAAAATAGAATGAGATAGATAGATAGATAGATAGATAGATAGATAGATAGATAGATAGATAGATAAATAGATTGAAATATAGAGATAGAGGTAAAATAGAATGATTAGATGATAGATAGATAAATAGATAGATATAGAGTCAGATAAAATAGAATGAGATAGATAGATAGATAGATACATACATACCTAGATAGATACATAGATGATATATTGAAAGAGATACAGAGAGATATAATAGAATGATATGGATAGATAGATAAATTGAAAGAGAGAATGATATAGATAGAGATAGATAGATAGAGATAGATCATAGATAGATAGATAGATAGATAGGTAGATAGATAGATAGATAGATAGTTAGACAATAGTTTGAAAGACAGAGAGAGAGATAAAATAGAACAATATAGATGATAGATTGAAAGACAGAGATAGAGGTAAAATCGAATGAGATAGGTAGATAGATTGATTGAAAGAGATAGAGACAGATAAAGTAGAATTAGATAGATAGATAATAGGTTGAAAGACAGAAAGAATAATATGGAGATGGATAGATAGATAGATGGATAGATAGATAGATAGATAGATAGATAGATAGATAGATAGATAGACAGACAGACATATTATTGGTTCTTTTTCTCTGGAGACCCCTCAGAGACACAGAGAGAAATGCGAGCTGGACTAGAGCTCTCTCAGGAAGAAACAGCACAGTGGAATTCAGGCAGGTGTAGACAGAGGGGACCCAGGAGTCTGATTGAAGAGCGAATCCCACAGCCCACACCTGGGGGACGCCCAGCCACCATCGCCCTGAGTCACGGCCGCCCGGCTCACCTGCCACTCCGTGTCGAAGGGGCTCCGGTACTGAACCTCATAGAGGAGACCCCTGTAGGACAGGTCAGAACACGTCACCGTCACCGCGTCCTGATGCCACGAAAAGCTCACCTGCTTCGGGGAACTGGGCTTCACTGAGAAGAAGAAATAACAGAAGCTTCATGTTACAGACACAGTGACATCCCTCCTCTCTGAGATGACTGTGACAGGCTTACTTCATCCCCTTTCTCTAGCATGTACCCCTCCCTTCCCTTAATACCTTATGGGGCTTGGGGTTCGCCCGTCTTCATTACTTTTATAGGAGAAGCTTCCACCAGAGCTCCGAGAACCTGTTAGGTTTGCGAAGGACCTGTCTAAAATTCTGTGGAAAATGTCCTGTGTGTCTCTTACAAGCTAAATTATATCCCCCACAAAAAATACATGTTAAAATCCCAACTCCCCAGAAACTCAGAATGGGACTGTATTTAAAAATAGGATCCTTTGGGAGGCCGAGGCGGGCGGATCACCTGAGGTCAGGAGTTCGAGACCAGATTGACTCACATGGAGAAACCCTGTCTCTGCTAAAAATACAAAACTAGCCGAGCGTGGTGGTGCATGCCTGTAATTCCAGCTACTCGGGAGGCTGAGGCAGGAGAATCGCTTTAACCCCGGAGGCAGAGGTTGCGTGAGCCGAGATCATGCTATTGCACCCAGCCTGGGGCACAGGAGCAAAACTCTATCAAAAAAAAAAAAAAAATTTATCTGGCTGGACACAGTGGCTCACACCTGTAATCTCAGCAGTTTGGGAGGCCAAGGCAGGTGGATCACAAGGTCAGCAGTTCAAGACCAGCCTGGCCAATAGGGTGAAACCCAGTCTCTACTAAAAAAAATACAAAAAGTAGCCGGGCGTGGTGGCACACGCCTGTAGTCCCAGCTACTCGGGAGGCTGAGGCAGAAGAATTGCTTGAACTTGGGAGGTGGAGGTTGCATTGAGCCGAGATCGCGCCACTGCACTCCAGCCTGGCGACAGAGCGAGACTCCGTCTCAAAACAAAGTGGGGGGGAGGGGATCCTTATAGGTGCATTTAGTTAGTTAAGATGAGGTCATTCCGGAGAAGGAAGCATTCTAAATGCAACCATAGGTGTCCTTCTCAGAGACAGAGGAGACACAGACACAGAGGAGAAGGCCACGTGGAGACGGAGGCAGAGACTGGAGTGATGCGGCCACAAGCCCAGGGACGCCTGGAGCCCCCAGGAGCTGGGAGAGGCAGGAAGGAGCCTCCCCTAGAGCTTTCAGAAGGGACTGGATACAACTGTCAGGCATTGAATATTGATCCCTAAAATACATGTTCTCCATAACTTCTGAATGAGACCTTATTTGGAAAGAGGGTCTTTGCAGATGTAATTAGTTAAGAATCTTGACATGAGATCATCCTGGAGTAGGGTGAGCTCTAAATGCAATGACAGGTGTCCTTGTAAGAGACAGAAGAGGAGACACAGACACAGAGGAGGAGGCCACGTGGAGATGGAGGCAGAGACTGGAGTGATGCGGCCACAAGCCCAGGGATGCCTGGAGCCCCCAGGAGCTGGGAGAGGCAGGAGGATCCTCCCCTAGGGCCTCCGGAGGGAATGGGGCTCTCAGACATGTCCATGTCACTGGGAGAGAATAAGTTTCTGTTGTTTTAAACCTCCCGTTTGTGGTGACCTATTATAGCCCAGGAAACGCACCCAGTATCTACAAGTAATTTCGCGAATAAAGAGTTCGCCGTTCTCACGGGATTCTGAAACAGATCCGTTTCCCCTACCTCTGAAAAATAAAAAAGGAAAAAAGAGCCACAGCCTTACAGAATTCTAGGATACAGAAGAAACATTTTGGAAAGAGGGTTTCCTTACAGCCAGTTCTCAACGCACATAAGGAAACCTGCCAGGTGCAGTGGCTCGTGCCTGTCATCCCAGAAATTTGGGAGGCCGAGGCAGGAGGATCTCTTGAGCCCAGAAGTTCGAGATCAGCCTGGGCAATATGGTGAGACCCCAGGTCTACAAAACATGAGAACGTTTGCCAGGCATGGTGGCGTGTGTCTGTGGTCTGAGCTACTCTGGAGGTTGAGGCGGGAGGATCGCTTGAGCCCAGGAGGTGGAGGCTGCAGTGAGCTGTGATTGCATCACTGCACTCCAGCCTGGGCCACAGAGCAAGACCCTCCCTCTCAAAAAAAAAAAATAAATAAAAAATCTGGTGAGTGGGATGATGGTGAGAGAGTATTTCCTGCTCCCTCTGTGTGTGTGTGTGTGTGTGTCTGTGTGTCTCTGTGTGTGTGTGTGTCTGTGTGTGTCTGTGTCGGTGTGTGTGTGTATCTGTGTGTGTGTCTGTGTCTGTCTGTGTGTGTGTCTGTGTGTGTCTGTGTGTGTGTCTCTGTGTGTGTCTGTGTATGTGTCTGTGTGTGTCTGTGTGTGTCTCTGTGTGTGTCTGTGTGTGTGTCTGTGTGTGTGTCTGTGTGTCTGTGTGTGTCTGTGTGTGTCTGTGTGTGTGTCTGTGTGTGTGTGTCTGTGTGTGTCTGTGTGTGTCTGTGTGTGTGTGTCTGTGTGTGTGTGTGTATGTGTCTGTATGTGTGTGTCTGTGTGTGTGTCTGTGTGTGTGTGTCTGTGTGTGTGTGTATCTGTGTGTGTCTGTCTGTGTGTGTGTATCTGTGTGTGTCTGTGTCTGTGTGTGTCTGTGTGTGTGTGTCTGTGTGTGTCTCTGTGTGTGTGTGTGTATGTGTCTGTGTGTGTGTGTCTGTGTGTGTGTGTGTGTGTGTAGGCAGGGCACCAGAGGGCAGCATCTCTAATTAATTCCCTTATTTTATGTATTTATTTATTTATTTGAGATGAAGTTTCCCTGTTGCTGCCCAGGCTGGAGTGCAGTGGCTGGATCTCAACTCACTGCAACCTCTGCCTCCCGGGTTCAAGTGATTCTCCTGCCTCAGCCTCCTGAGTAGCTGGGATGACAGGTGCCCACCACCATGCCCGGCTAATTTTGTATTTTTAGTAGAGACGGGGTTACTCCATGTTGGTCAGGCTGGTCTCGAACTCCCCACCTCAGGTGATCCTCCTGCCTCGGCCTCCCAAAATACTGGGATGAAAGGCATGAGCCACCGCGCCCGGCCTTATTTATTTTTCAATAATGAATTTATAAATCGCCCAGGCTGGAGTGCAGTGGCGTGATCTCAGCTCACTGCAGCCTCTGTCTCCCGGGTTCAAGCAATTGCCCTGCCTCAGCCTCCCGGATAGCTGAGATTACAGGCGTGCGCCACCACGCCCGGCTAATTTTTTTTATTTTTTATTTTTAATAGAGACAGGGTTTCACCATGTTGGTGAGGCTGGTCTCGAACTCCAGACCTCAAGTGATCCGCCCGCCTTGGCCTCCCATAGTGCTGGGATTACAGGCATGAGCCACCGCGCCCAAGCTTTAATTCATTCCCTTAAATCACAGTCATCTGGTCTCCCCACTGGAGGCAGGTTCATCCCCGACCAGTGTGTGTGTAAGTGGGAACTTTCTAGAAGGTCGGTTTCTCCTTACTTGGAGTCAAGAACTGGGCACTGGGCTCCAGTGGCCAATGGTCCATGAGGTTGCTTTTCAGAATTTACTGAAACTAACTGAAGGTGACGAGCTGAAAGAGTACTGAAAAGTGTGCTGGGCTTGCTTTTCAGTAGTTACGGTAATCATTGATCCCGCGACTGGCATGAGCTTGCTTTTCAGTACTTATGGTAATAAGCTGAAGGAAGTACCGAAAAGCATGGTGAGCTTGCTTTTCAATAGCTATAGTAATCACTAATCCAGTGACTTGTCTGAGCTTGCTTGTCAGTACTTATGGTAATCAGCTGAAGGAAGTACTAAAAAGTAGGCTGGGCGTGCTTTTCAGTCGTTACGGTAATCATTGATCCAGCGACTATCATGAGATTGCTTTTCAGTACTTAGGGTAATCAGCTGAAGGAAGTACTGAAAAGCGTGGTAAGCTTGCTTTTCAATAGCTACAGTAATCATGGACCCGGTGATTATCATGAGCTTTTTAGTACTTACGGTAATCAGCTGAAGGAAGTACTGAAAAGTATGCTGGGCTTGCTTTTCAGTAGTTACGGTAATCATTGATCTAGCGACTATCATGAGATGGCTTTTCAGTACTTAGGGTAATCAGCTGAAGGAAGTACTGAAAAGTGGGCTGAGCTGGCTTTTCAATTGTTACGGTAATCATGGATCCCGCGTGAACTTGTGACTGGCATGAACTTGCCTTTCATTACTTATGGTAATAAGCTGAAGGGCGTACTGAAAAGCGTGGTGAGTTTGCTTTTCAATAGCTACGGTAATCATGGATCCGGCGATTTGCGTGAGTTTAAAGTACTGAAAAGGGTGCTGAGCTTGCTTTTCAATTGTTACGGTAATCATTGATCCCGCCACTGGCAGGAACTTGCTTTTCATTACTTACGGTAATAAGCTGAAGGGCGTACTGAAAAGCGTGGTGAGCTTGCTTTTCAATAGCTACGGTAATCATGAATCCGGCGATTTGCACGAGTTTTTCAGTACTTATGGTAATAAGCTGAAGGAAGTACTGAAAAGCATGGTGAGCTCGGTTTTCAATAGCTACGGTAATCATGAATCCGGCGATTTGCACGAGCTTTTCAGTACTTACGGTAATAAGCTGAAGGAAGTACTGAAAAGTGTGCTGAGCTCGCTTTTCAAGAGTTAACGGTAATCACGGATCCGGTGATTGGCAGGAGCTTGGTTTTCAGTCCTTGGGGTAATAAGGTGAAGGAAGTACCGAGAAGCATGGTGAGCTGGCTTTACAATACTTACGGTAATAAAAGATCCAGCGACTGGCGGTGAAAACGGGGTGCGTCCCGTTCCTGATGGAGAAATAGAGAATTTCGTCTTGCTGCTCTGCGTCTAGGAGGCACCCCGAGGTGTGACCTTCCTGGAGAATGTAGACGGTGCACTGGTCATAGGCCTCATCTCGATTGAATCTGGGGTTTAAAATGACCGTTTAGCAACAGTGCTTTATTTATTCATTTATTTATTTAGAGATGGGGTCCTGCTCTTGCCACCCAGGCTGGAGTGCAATGGTGCAATCTCAATTCACTGCAACCTCCGCCTCCTGGGTTCAAGCAATTCTCCTGTCTCAGCCTCCTGAGTAGCTGGGATTACAGGCACCCGCTACCATGCCCAGGTAATTTTGGTAGTTTTACTGGAGACATGGTTTCACTGTGTTGGCCAGGCTGGTCTCGAACTCCTGACCTCAGGTGATCCATACACCTTGGCCTCCCAAAGTGCTGGGATTAGAGGTGTGAGCTACCATGCCCGGCTTCTTTTCTTTTTTTCTTTTTTTTTTTTTTTGAGACAGAGCCTCACCCTGTCGCCAGGCTGGAGTGCAGTGGTGCAATCTCAGCTCACTGCAACCCCTCCACCTCTCAGGTCCAAGAGATTCTCCTGTCTCAGCCTCCTGAGTAGCTGGGACTACAGGCGCCCGCCACCATGCCCGGCTAATTTTTGTGTTTTTAGTAGAGACGGGGGTTTCGCCATGTTGCCCAGGCTGGTCTCGAATTCCTGACCTCAGGTGATCCACCCGCCTCGGCCTCCCAAAGTTCTGGGATTACAGGTGTGAGCTAGCACGCTGACCTTTTTTTTTTTTTTTTTCCTTTTGGACGGTGTCTTGCTCTGTCCTTGAGGCTGGAGTGTAGTGGCGTGATCTCGGCTCACTGCAATCTCTGCCTCCCGGGTTCAAGCGATTCTCCTGCCTCTGCCTCCTTAGTAGCTGGGATTACAGGCGCCCACCACCAAGCCCAGCTAATTTTTGTGTTTTTAGTAGAGACGGGGTTTCGCCATGTTGACCAGGCTGGTCTCCAACTCCTGACCTCAGGTGATCCTCCTGCCTCGGCCTCCCAAAATGCTGGGATCACAGGCGTGAGCCACGACACCCAGCCTGGACATTTCTTAAAACAGCATTTAACAAATCTAATGGCCGTTCCTTCACGCTGCATTCTCACCGTGGCCTCCGGCCAGGTTCCCTCCTCACTAACTTCAATGACCCTTCTTTACAGCTAACTACAACAACACCTGTCCAAACAGAAAAACTTGCTCTCTCATAAATATTTAAACCCCTTGTGTCACCAGGTGCAGGTGCAGAGTTCGAGACCAGCCTGACCAACATGGAGAAACCCCGTCTCTACTAAAAATACAAAAATTAGCCGGGCGTGGTGGCAGGTGCCTGTAGTCCCGGCTACTTGGGAGGCGGAGGCAGGAGAATCGCTTGAACCTGGGGGCGGAGGTTGCAGTGAGCTGAGATCATGCCACTGTAGTCCAGCCTGGGCAACAAGAGAGAAACTGTCTCAAAAAACAAACAAACAAACAAAAAACCCTTGCATGGTTTCTGTAGTGTGTTGAATTGTGGCCGTCCATAAGCCATGCCCACGTCCCAACTCCCAGAAGCTGTGAATGAGATCTTAGCTGTAAATAGGGTTTTTGGAGACGTGATTAGATAAGCACACTGAAATAAAATCCTCCTGGATTAATGTGAGCCCTCAATCCAATTAGAATATTTTTATAAGAGGAGGCCGGACATGGTGGCTCACACCTGTAATCCCAGCACTTTGGGAGGCTGAGACTGGTGGACCGTCTGAGGTCAGGAGTTCGAGACCAGCCCGGTCAACATGGTGAAACCCTGTCTCTACTAAAAATAAAAACACAAAAATTTGCCGGGCGTGGTGGCAGGTGTCTGTAGTCCCAGCTACTCAGAAGGCTAAGACAGGAGAATCACTTGAACCTGGGAGGTGGAGGTTGCAGTGAGCTAAGATCACGCCAATGCACTCCTCCTGGATTAATGTGAGCTCTCAATCCAATTAGAATATTTTTATGAGATAGCAAAGAAATACAGTGAAAAATATTCTTCTAAGAGACAGAAGAGGATATACAGACTCAGAGGAGGAGGCCATGTGGACACAGAGGCAGAGACTGGAGTGATGCGGCCACAAGCCCAGGGATGCCTGGAGCCCCCAGGAGCTGGGAGAGGCAGGAAGGATCCTCCCCTTGAGCCTCCGGAGGCAACAGGATACAGCTGTAGTGGATTGATCTGTGTCCCTCAGAAAGATCTATCTGTGTCCTAATGCCCAGACCTGGAATACGGCCTTATTCAGCACTAGGCTCTTTGAGGATGCGATTAAGTAAAGGATCTAGAGATGAGATCATCCTGGATGAGGCTGGGTCCTAAATCCAATGACAGGTGTCCCTCTGAGAGACAGAAGAGGAGACACAGAGGTCTTTGCAGATGTAATTAAGGTCAGTCTGGAGATTACCTTGTCCTGATGCAGATGGCCCTTAAATGCAAAATGCCATCATAGGTGTCTTTCTAAGAGACAGAAGAGGAGACACAGACACAGAGGAGGAGGCCACGTGGAGACGGAGGCAGAGACTGGAGTGATGCAGCCACAAGCCCAGGGATTGTGCCTCCGGGTTCAAAGCCATTCTCCTACCTTCAGGCCCCTGCGCGTAGGCTGGGATTTACAAGGTCCAGCCACCGACTGCCCAGCCTTTTCTGTGTTTTTAATAGAGACGGGTTTCACATGGTCGCGCAGGCTCTGGTCTTGAGCTAACTCCTGACCTCCAGGTGATCCACCCACCTCGCCTCCCAAAAATGGTAAATTACAGGCGTGGAAAGCCACCGCGCCCAGCTTGGTCCATTGTTGAAGTTAGGTGTTGTGTGGTGTTTGAGAAAGACAGGTCAGGTGGGCATTGATGGGGATAGTTTCCGATGGCCACCTTAGGTGATCCACAGGGATGGTGTCATTGGATACATGATTGATGCTCGCATCTGTTGCAGTGTACATAGTGGGGCAAACATTACCTTTTTGCACAATCAGAGTACGCAGATAAGCGATGGCTGGTCATCAATGTGTTTCTATGTCCTTTAATCCCAGCACTTTGTTGGGGGACCCTCGCACGGCAAGGTGAGTGCACGACTTTTTTGACCTTCTTTCTGGTCAGGATGGGATCGTAGACCTCCTGGCTAACACAGTGAAAACCCCGTCTCTCCTAAAAACACAAAAATCTAGCCAGGTGTTGGTGGCGGGCACCTTGTATCGCCAGGCTACTCAGCAGGTTGAGGCAGGAGAATGGTGTCGAACCTGGGACGGTGGAGGTTGCAGTGAGCCCTGACGATCGCACCACTGCACTGCCAGTTCTTGGGCAACAGAGGTGAGACTCTGCTCTGGAAAAAAAAAAAAGGCAACTATAATTCTTCCCTTGTTTGACTTGTCTCTGCGGTTTTTGCAAAGGTAAGGTCCACTCCACTAGTGGCTTGCGACAGATATTAAGCGTCAATCGGCTGTATCCAATTGACAATCTTCTGTGGATATTGCTGCTTGAAGCTGGGTGTTGTGTATCTTGCTTTCACATAGGACTTGTCAAAACAGTCATGCTCTTTTTTTAACAATGA